ACTTACTGGAAATGAATATGATCCAGTAATCCATTCTAGGGATGCATCCCAGAGAAACTTGAGTCCAGGTTCATAAGGGGACAGGAACAAAGATGTTCATTGTAGCAGCAGGTTAGACGCAGCTGGGTGCCCATCACTGTAGAAACAGGTAAATAAAATGTGGGTATGCAAACGGTAAAATATTACTCAGTACCCAAAAGCAATAAACTAGTGTTACATACAGCAGCATGAGTGAATCTCTACATGGATATTTAAAAATTACAAACTCAATGAAGCCTATAGTACAATGTCATGTATGTAAATTAAAGACAGATGCATATATAAAACAGCACCATATATGTTTCAAGGAACCACATATATCCAGAGATATCTACTATCTTAGAGCTTAAATGCAATACAGTGGTGCTTACTGTTAGGAGGCTGGTAAATAGAGTTAAAATGAAAGATGAAAGGAAAAACAAAATGGAAAAAAAACAAGATGCCTTCGCATGGACAGCTAATATACGTGCTGAAGTATTAACTCAACACCCTGCACCTGAGATTAAAAATATATAAATTATATAACTGTGGTGCCTGTACTTTGTAATTTAAACAGGAAAAAAATGACAACACGAACTAAAAAAATATATAAATATTCTCCTTGTTCCTTTACTCACTGTCCCAGAACATGCCCAGCTTGCATTATCTTTTTGAGGAGACTTACACCACCACCCCCTCATCCTGGGTGCACTCTACCTATCCAACGACATCCTTCAAGGCACAATTTCAGTTCTACTTCTCTATAAAACCTTTTGAATTGTTCCCCTCACATAAAAACGTCTTCCCGAAACCAACGACTTTTGCAGTCGGTCCCATAACATCTAAGTCTTAATACCAAATGGAATATATTGTTCTCTCTTGCTCTATATTGTTTTGTCCTGGGCTTTCTCTTCTAGTTGTTAACTTCCTAGGGAGCAGGGATAACTCTTGGGAGCTTCCTGCAGTGCCTAGAACAATTCTGCGTACATAGGTAGGAGCATCTCAATAAGTATTTGGATTCATAAATTTTCAGTTGAGATTTGGAAGTGTGGTGGCAAAGGATGGATAGATGGGATCATAACCAAAGGCTGGAAAGCACTTATCTTTTTGCAGCTGGGAATAAGTTTTGAAAATGGAGGAGAATAGAGATTCCTTTTGGAATTAGAGTTCCTTTTGGAACTAGATGAGAAAGAGGTAGAATAATTTCTTTCATCTGTGAATAGAGTAGCCCTCCGATCAATGAAAGGAGATGACGTTTGCTTTCAGTTCCTCTATTTTCCCTTTCCTTGGTGTTTTCTTATCCAAGACTATTACTAAATTTTCCCTGAACACTTTAAGAAATTTGTTTTAACTTCAATCTACAAAATAAAGCTAATAAGAACCAAATCAGAATGTGTTTCCTCAATCTAGGACACTGTTCAACAGCCCCTTCCCCCTACTTTTAAAACAAATGTGCTTCTTTTGCTTTTGACGAAAATCATCATTTTATTGATTGTTAAATGTATGGATTCATTTGTATAAACTAAATTGTGGTGGGTTATTCCCCTGTAGGCTGTGTAAAAAAGAGATGCCCTACATAGCGAAGTTGATAAATTGAGTTGGATTCTCACTGATTCAAAATTTCGTTGAGCTGTGCTCTGCTAATAATTTGAATGAGAGCCAAAGGTTGTCTCTGAAAGGGAAATTGATCTGTAAGAACAGGAGGTTGGAGCTTTGAAAGGAGACGATATATGTAGCTTGCTCAGCGCTTTGGAAGGTGCGGAGTGTGGATTGGCTCCAGGGAATGGTGATTAAATGGAAAGTAATACAAAGTGGAAAGAATCACGGTTATGATATAATAAGAAAAGGGTATATCTATTTCAGCTAATTGCTGGTCTTGGGATCTCGATTGAGTCAGTAAACATCTTTGAACCTTTGCTTTCTTTTTTAAGGAGGTGGGAAGATCTCTAATTCATATTCATCTATGAATATTATCATCAGCTGAAAAGATAATTTGGCAGCTAAAAACAAGAGCTTCGTAAACAAACAAGAGCTTAAGGACACAAGAGAAGAAACTGAGCTTCATTCATTTTTGTAACTGGCTAATAATGAAAAGGGCCTGAAACATTGGAGGTGCTCAACAAATATTTGTTGAATGAATACATTGGAAAAATGGAATAGATCAGAAAGGAAGTAAAGTTGCAAGAGACCGCCAAGACCAAGAGATTCTCAGACCAGGCATGTAGGAGGCAGAGGAAGGAACTTAGGAAGACAGAGAAGAAAATGTCCTCTTTACCCAGCGGTCAGAACCAGGGAACAGCTGCAGGGCACAGCTAGGGCAGCTGTAGCACAAAAGTGCTGAGCGTCCAATACATGTAGAGGAGATTAGCAGGCATGGTTTAGAGAATTAAGATTCACAGTTCTAATGCCTACCCAAATACACCCTAAACAACACGCCCGAACATTTGGGTTTACATTTGAAGCAGCTAGAAAGCAAGGTAAGGAAAGGAGGTAAGAAATGCCATGCAATCATCATGGGTAGCATCAGACAGACCAGAATTTAAAACCAAGCTACTATTCGGTAGTAGTATAAATATTGCCCCCCCCCCCCCCCCCAAAAAAATGTAGTCTCTCTGAGACAGCTAGAAAATGAAGTCCCTAATTAAATGAAAATTATAGTATTTATTTGTAGAATTGATTTTAAGATTAAATAAGTGAATATATGAAAAGGACCTAAAGCACATCTGTGTTTTTTTAAGTCGTTATCATTATTATTGTTTTGTTGTTTCTGTAGCTTTATTATCCAGCCATCTCAAACTTTGTCTTGATTTCAGTTCAGGAACCTGTAATTTGTAAATTGCCTCTCTATTTTTCGGTTTTCTTCTCTGTGTGCATTTTTCCTCCTTAGTGCTGCTTAAAGTTCCCGACTCCCTTCACTTCTAACTTTGTCTTAGTAACACTGAAGAAAAAGGACCTTTCACCTATAGTCAGCGTGGCTCAATGACAGGCATGACTGTGGTCTGGCCAACTAGGGCCAGAGGAGCAGAAGAGCCAGAGCAAAAGCAGGGGAGAGGCAGGAGTCCAGACAGACGTGCCTGAAGTTTCCATTCATATGACGTCATATAAAGGATGCACCCACCACATTCAAACTCAGCGGGAGAGGTGATGTTCCCCTCGAGTGGTTGGTCACTTGTTTACAATACCTTCATTAAAATGGAGACTAGGACTCTTGCTTCCTACAGGATACTGTAAGATACATACTTTTAAAATTAAGCAAAGTTAGATAAAATGTGAAAACCCGGCAACTGAACAGATTAATGAGAAAATTAGTGTAAGATTTGTTATAGAAATTATATTGATACTGATAACTTGGCGGTAGTTATACTAGAGTTAACAAACAATATGGCTTGCGTATCATTGCTACATCAAGTTTTCAAAGCTATTTAGTCCTGGTGACACGAATTAGGCTGCTAAACAAAGGCTTTTAGCTAGTTTTGAAGTTACCTTAGTCAACAAAAGGTCACGGCCACCAATCCAACGCCACAGGTGCCCCCAATGTGGGGTGCTGGGAGGAATTTTATTCAGACGAACTTTTGCAAATGGGGAAAAGGAAGGCTCCACGGGAAAACGCGGATTTCGCGGGAAAAAGATTTCGCGGGAAACGGAAAGTGCCCTCCTGGAAACAAACCAAACAGGTAGCAACTTATGTAGGAAAAGTGCCCGCGCTAGCCCTTGATTGGTCCATTTTTATGCAAATGCGGAGTCCAAATTTGCAGTTTGATTGGTCCAAAAGCACTGATTGGCTAGACTCGCACGTCCTGATTGGTCACTACGGAGCCATTTGGGGGAGTGAAGATGCAAAAGACCGTGTAGCTGAACAACGAGGATTGAAGACGCGGCTTTTCCCTGATGGGAAGTTTGCGAGACCTCTGTCAACGGCGGCTGCTAGCTTCTGGTGACGAATCTGGGCCTAGCTAACCCAAGGAGTCCTTTTTTTGTCAGATTCTGCGACTCTGACCGAAGCAGGCCGCATTCTGTCACGTGCATGCCTCCCTTCAATTACCCTGATCAACCCTAGTTTTAACGTCACCTAACACGTGGGGAGGCCAGCAGGCTCTCTGCGTTCAAGGCTGATGGAGCAAGACGGCCAGGGAACGAGGGCAGGGGGAGACGAGCGAGGGCTGGGCTTCACTTTGGGGGACTGTTCTCAAGTGTTTGGGGCAATCTCGATTCCACCGTCCCAGGCAGGTGTGATTCCTCTGGGGGAAACGGTGGCTTAACTCGGACAGCTGCGTAACAGTAATGCCTAGGGACCAGTCTCAGGTCATGTCATGTGACCGAAGGGCGGAAAACTGGGAGCGTGCTGCAGGCCTAACGTGGGACCCGCAGCTGGCTTCGCCCTCAGAGCCGGACGGCCGAGGAGACAGGGCTGCACGGGCTGCTGCGGGACCGGCGACGGGGAGCCCGCGCGGCGCAGAGCCAGTGTGAGGGGGGCGAAGGTGTGA